GACTACTCTCACATGCCTGACTGAATAACAAGCTGGATGGGGAGCTTCTGCAGTGCCAATGTCTGAAATGGCAAGTGTTTATGAGCTATGTAAACGAGGAACACTGAGACACGTAGCAGAGGTGATACTATATCTGATTAGCCTCTGGTTCAGCTGATACTGCAACAGTGTCCAGGTCAGCTTTCCACAGTGAAAAAAGGGGTTTTGACAACAGTGAGATAATTATGGGGCTCTACCTGTTAAATGCATGAAAGGACCAATAGCACAGGGCTCCTCACAGTATCTAACAAAGATATTGCAGTAACTAGAAAATACAGGCTAAAACTAAGATGCAGATCTGTGCCAGAGATGGTAATTAGCTAGTGGAACAAGTCTGTAAAGGCCATGATAGACTGTCCAGATGGAGACAGTTATAATCACTGGGACTGAATGTGCAAATTGGAATTAATTCATGGCATCGTGCAAAAGACTAAACTAGATTATTTCCAAGCCCTTTTACCTGACAAGCTGTGACTCTCTGAACATGCACCTAAGCAAAGTTAGTAAAGGCACCATTCAGGAATAGCTGCACATCTAGGAAAGGAAACATTTTCTAAAGATTATTACACTTGGCTAACTTAAAGCGTTCAGAAGTCGTGAGTCAGGGCCCCAGGCACCATGCAACTGGCTTCAAAATACTGTTATTTTAAAACAGGAACAAATATCGGTTCCTTTTTATTTGCCTCTTGGTTTTTTGCCTTTTAAGCTTCAGGGTTGTGCTGGTTTGGTTCTGGCATGGTTTTCGTAGCAGAGGAGGGGCCCCAGGGATGGCTGCTGTAAAAAGCTTCTAAAAGCTCCCCCAGCTCAGGAGGTCAAGGCTGAGCCATTAGAGAGACAAGAGATGTGCATCTGCAAATAACATATGAAAGAACCAGTACAAGACCTGAGCAGAGAGAGAAAAGTTGAGCTGGAGAGGTGACAGCAGTGACAGAGAGGAGGTCAGTGAGGAAGAAAGGGAAGGAGGTGCCCAAGCAGAAGTTCCCCTGCAGCCCATATCAGCAGGCTGTCCCTCTGCACTCATGAAGGAATGTAGCGGAGCATCCCCTGAAGGTGCCAGGAGGGGGAAATGTGGACCTGCAGCCAGGGAGGACCCCGTGCCAGGGGAGATGACTATTTCCGAAGCAGCCCGTGACTTTGTGGGAAGCCCACACTGGAGCAGTTTGTTCCTGAGGGACTGCATCTCATGGGAAGGACTCACGTCAGAGAGGTTTGTGAAGGACTCTCTCCCACAGGAGGGACCCCTTGGGGAAACCGGAGAGGACTGTAAGGAATCCTTCCTGAGGAGGAAGGAGCAGCAGGAACCACCAGCCTGTGAACTGACTCTAAACCCCATCCCCTGTCCCCCTGTGCTGCTGGGGGGAAGGAGGGAGAGAAATTGAGAACAAAGTAATTTGGGCTCAGGAAGAAGAGAAGGGTGGGAGTAACATGTGTAAGCACTGCTCTTTGTTTTGCTGTATCCTGTTTGCATTTGATTAGTGATTTGATTGTTATTTTTTCCCCACATCAAGTCTGTTTTGGCCAGGACCATAACCCGTGAGCGAATCCTCCTTGTCCTTTGTCTTGACCCATGAGGGAAGAAAGGGAAGGAGGTGCCCAAGCAGAAGTTCCCCTGCAGCCCATATCAGCAGGCTGTCCCTCTGCACTCATGAAGGAATGTAGCGGAGCATCCCCTGAAGGTGCCAGGAGGGGGAAATGTGGACCTGCAGCCAGGGAGGACCCCGTGCCAGGGGAGATGACTATTTCCGAAGCAGCCCGTGACTTTGTGGGAAGCCCACACTGGAGCAGTTTGTTCCTGAGGGACTGCATCTCATGGGAAGGACTCACGTCAGAGAGGTTTGTGAAGGACTCTCTCCCACAGGAGGGACCCCTTGGGGAAACCGGAGAGGACTGTAAGGAATCCTTCCTGAGGAGGAAGGAGCAGCAGGAACCACCAGCCTGTGAACTGACTCTAAACCCCATCCCCTGTCCCCCTGTGCTGCTGGGGGGAAGGAGGGAGAGAAATTGAGAACAAAGTAATTTGGGCTCAGGAAGAAGAGAAGGGTGGGAGTAACATGTGTAAGCACTGCTCTTTGTTTTGCTGTATCCTGTTTGCATTTGATTAGTGATTTGATTGTTATTTTTTCCCCACATCAAGTCTGTTTTGGCCAGGACCATAACCCGTGAGCGAATCCTCCTTGTCCTTTGTCTTGACCCATGAGCTTCTAGTTGGCCTTCGTCCTCCCCATCCCAGGGTATGTGTGGGGCAGGGGGTGAGTGAATGGCCACGTGGCTGGCTCTTTGTTGTTGGTTAGGACCAAACCATGACAATGGTGCAAGCTCTGCTCTGCTCTGCAATCATGATGTCCATAAAATAGAGGTCCCTAAGTCTAATTTATATAAATGCTGAGCTTACTGCAGCACCAGATGATACTGGACAATAACAAATATCTTGGGATTTACAATAAATTTGTGACGTTTCATCACGATTATTATAAAGGCAATTTTGTTCCCTTTAAAACCAGCCATGTGCAAAGAAAAAGCCAAACCAAAAAAAAAGCAAGTTAAGGAGCAGCTGCAATTAACCCATCTTCAACAGCTCCCTGCCAGCACTTGTGGGTTTCCAGCCACATGTCCCTCATCACAGAAAGACTATGGGAGAGCGGAGGATTGGTGACCCTGCAGGTATTCACCCCTGCTAACTGTGGGTGCTTCCTCTGGGCTCATGCAGTTTTGTGCCTCTCTCTTTTTTTCTGGAAGGCAGAAGCTTTTTGCCCAGTCCCTGTCCAGAGGATTCCAGGATGGAATGTGTGATGGAATGGCTGTGTAACAGACATACGGCCAGGACAGAGGGAAGGAGATGCTGGGATATATGAGTTTCCCATTTGAACTTGGGCAAAGCTCCGTTTCCATTAGCTTCTTTCCCAGGCCCTCCCAACAAGATGAAAGCTGGAATTTCTTACCTCTTTGCTCCTCTAACAGAAAAAACAGCCTCTCCAAACCCTACTCTTCCATTAAACCTACAAAATGCCCTTCAGCTATGCCAGTCTCCTAAGCCACCCCTGGAAAAGCATGCTGGAGTATCCAGCAGAGATATATGCAGACTGAGAGGTATTAAGGCCCTTGCTGAGGTGCAAGACAGACACCATCCAAGAGTTTTTAGTAAGTCCGTAGCAGGTCTACTCTGCTCCACTGCCAGTCCTCTCCTGAACCCCCCCTATGACCCTACACCTGACAGAAAGGACACTTCTTCACTGTCAAACAAGGAAAACAGCACACAGGGGTAGCAGGCATCCCCTATGCAGTGTGATTTGGGGGTTAAACCCTGCTGCCTTACCAGGAATGAGCAGTAACCACCATCACGATCTGGTTGGTTTCTCCCCACAGCTCCTTTTGTGTAGGGATGAATCTGCTTGTTGCTGGAGATGTTTGTGAGCCACAAATGGCTGCAGTGCAGCACAGTCCCACCTCAATCCCCTTGCCCTCTGGTTCATATAGCTGTTTCGTAGCACAAACAGAGATTTTTGCTGAGCTCTTAAAAATATCATCTTGCTCTGACAAAATTGTACAAACTCTGCACAGTGGTAGGCTGGTAATCAAAACACATGTGTAGCTGAAGGAAGGCCAGGAGCACTGGGCACAGGCCCTCCTCTGCCTGTCACAACTGCCTCGCAACATTCACCAAAGCCATGCTCCAGGTTCCTCTCTATCCCAACATGAAACGTGTCGTTTTTGCAAACACAGAAAGGCAGGGCATTCACCCCCTGATTTTATGCCATACAAATTTCAGAAAGGAAGGGCTGGGTCAGCTGCACCATCTTTTCTCTTTGTCTGTGCTGTGGCAAAATAAGTGCATACAACTTAAGTCAACACAGACAAAACCTTTTGGGATTTTGGGGTTAGAAAAGACCTAATGAGGCAGCTTACAATGTGAAAACCACCCACAATCATATCAGACAATGCCAGCCTTCCAAACCCAGCAAAAAACTGTCCGGATAGTCAGACAGACTGGGATGAGACAGAGAAACACTTGCTTATATGTAGAGCAAGGAGAAGAGAGCCCTCAACGCACAGGCTTGCTTCTGAAGGCAGCAAACCTGCTTGGGTGCTGGGCAGGACCTGCGCCATTTGCAGGGATCAGCTCACAATGAGTAAACGCTGTGGATTATTTTTAATGAGCTTGAAATAAATCCGTACTCATGGGGAAGCCTGGCATGAGGGGCCTGGTACTGTGAAAGTCCTACATGAGCTCTCTTGGGAAGATGTAAGCAGGGATAAGTGGTGTATATGTTTCATATAGCCCTTTCAAAGCTGCAGGTACCTTCACTAGTCCCATGATGTCCCCACCACATGCCTGCAGCTGAAGGGGCCAGGTCTGCTCAAGGCTCAAGTCCAGCAGCAGCCACCTCCTCTGGTGAATCACAGAATCCTAGGGGTTGGAAGGGACCTCGAAAGATCATCCAGTCCAACCCCCTTGCCAGAGCAGGGGCACCCAGAGCACATCACACAGGAACTTGTCCAGGTGGGTTTGAATGTCTCCAGAGAAGGAGACTCCACAACCTCTCTGGGCAGCCTGTTCCAGGGCTCTGTCACTTTTACAGGAAAGAAACATATTTGTAAACACTGATGAGATCACCCCTCAGTCTCCTTTTCTCCAAGCTAAAAAGACCCAGCTCCCTCAGCCTTTCCTTATCAGGGAGATGTTCCACCCCCTTAATCATCTTTGTAGCTCTGCGCTGGACTCTTTCAAGCAGTTCCCTGTCTTTCTTGAACTGAGGGGCCCAGAACTGGACACAATACTCCAGATGTGGCCTCACCAAGGCAGAATAGAGGGGGCGGAGAACCTCCCTTGACCTACTAACCACCCCCTTTCTAATGCACCCCAGGTTCCACTGGCCTTCTTGGCCACCAGGGCACACTACTGGCTCATCCTCTTGCCCAGCAGGACCAGCCCCTCTGGCAAACCCACCCCCCATGGCCATTACCTGCTGTACTCTGGGGGCGGCTGGTACCGGACCAGGGCCACCTCTGCCCGGGCGGGCTGGGGCACGGCGTAGGAGGCCTTGAGGATGTCCTGTGCCGGCTGCTCGCTGTAGAACAGCCCGTGCTCCTGTGCCTTGCTGCCTGGGGCCCCTGCCTTGCCCTTGTAGGGGTACTCGGGCGGGGGGCCCCGCGGGTCGGTGCCCTTGCAGGGCGGCAGGGCCGCCTTGAGGCCCTTGGCGCCGCCCGGGGCCGGCGGG